TACGCCATTTTAACTGTTATGGCCCCTATCTCAAATTCTACACACTAGCCTCGGGCCCCGCAGGCTGCACCCAATACACACCCCAAAGTGATTGAACAAGGAAGAGACAGAGGAATGGTCCGAAGGGGGGTCAGGTCCTCGGCAGTTCTTGCAGCAAAAACGCGAGTCTGACGGTTCTTGGGGCTTAGGGTTTAGGGCTTTAGGGTTTAGGGTTTAGGGTTTAGGGTTTAGGGCTTGGGGTGTAGGGCTTAGGCCTTAGGGCAGAAGCAGGAGTGTGTGCTTCTCCCGGTGCTTTGCACGCTATCGCGGTCAGACCCGACCGTGCTGACGGATTCGCTAACTGGCGAGCCTCTGGACCCATCCGACGTCGTCATGGACATGTTTGAGCTGGACCTAGACCGCCTCGATCCGCGGTTTGCGCCTACTTGGGGAACGCCTAAGAAGCCTGAGAAGCCTTTTGGGTGGGGAATGATCTTTCGGGGCCGCCCATGGATCAATCACTACGGGGGCCAAAAGCCTACACAAGTTGCCGAGACCTTTGACTTCTGGTATTGTATGTACCACGAAGACATGTCCTGCCTATGGACGGAGTTCAGAGATCCGAGCTTTGGGTGAGGGCATAGGATTGAGGGTTCAAGCTAAGCGTAATATAGTGGCCTTAAAAATTATCTAGATTATTTTGGGGGTTCCTTATTGTTACTGTTAGTATTATTATAGTATAGTATGCCCCAAAACCCTATTGGAATTATTCAGGCCTCTACATTACTGGTCTTGCAAGAGCGAGGACCTCGCAAAGTACATGTAATGCGGGTCCTATGAGGCAGGGAGAAGAGAACCACCCTGAACCCCTGAACCTTAGCCCCCAAACCTTAACCCCTCAACCCTCAACCCCAAACCCCTGAACCCTAACCCCTAAGCCTTAACCCCTCAACCCTGAACCCTACACCCCTAAACCCTCAACCCTAAAACCTACACCCTAAACCCCTGAACCCTAAACGCCTTTAGGATTCGGGTTGGCTCGTCGATTCGGAGGCAGGGAAGCTAATCTTCGCCGAATTTTGCAACCCCGAAGTTCAACCCTCGCGTGGGATCAGACCTCGAACCACCATAGGGTTTAGGGTTTAGGG